TCGGCTCATGTTCAGCCGAGCATCAATCAATACCCCCAGGTCCATTTCCTCTACGCAGTCCTCCAGCCACACCGCCCCAAGCCTGTAGCGTCACCTGGGGTTGTTGTGGCCGAGAAGAACACTAAGAATATAATTGAGAGCTGCAGCTATTTCCCACCCTAAAAAGATATTCCGAACCACTGAATACTCCACAATTGCTCTTCAGATCTAGAGTTAAAGCTTGCATTTGAAAAGACCCAATTGCATTTCTCAAATACACCAGTCAACTGACATGTCAGTTATTGCTGGTGTGGCACTTACTCTGTCCGTTGTATGGTGTTCCTCCATAAAAACAAGCTACTGTCAGCTTTCTCGTTATGTCCTTGAAATCTTTGGCAACCTGGTTTGCCAGCTCTCTTGTTGGAGCAAGAACCAGAACCTACATTGGATGACAAACAGATAAATTCTCAACATGGCTTCTACCTAGCTGCTGCTGTCACAGAATCATAGAATGGCTGGCATTGGAAGGGATCTCAAAGCTCATCCAGTCCCAATCCCTGCCATGGGCTGGCTGCCCCCTACCAGCTCAGGCTTCCTAGGGCCCCAATCTGTGGTCTCACTCAGGCACCTTCAGGGATGGGGCACCCACAGCTTATCTGGGCAAGCTAGTCAACATTAGACTTTCAGCCACCAGTTTAGGTCTGACCATAACATCATTAAAAAAAAAAAAAAAATTGGTTCAAATAGTTATCTAAGCAAAGATTAGGGAAGCACACTGATTAAGTTTCTCATAACAGCATTCATCTCCTTCAGCATTATCCTTTTTAAGACAGAGTTTCTAACTATTAGATAAGAAATACTTAAATCTTATCTAACTTTAGCTTCTGAACAGTTGCTTGAGTATAAGATCAAAGAATTTGGATAAGAAAAGTTTCTTCAAAAACATACAAAGAAGAAGCCCTGCAAGCTTGGTACTCCTTTACAATCCTGTGAGAAGGTGTAAGGAAAAACCACCAAAACCTATCAGCTGTCTCAGTGAAACATACATTTGGTCTGCAAACTGGAGCTCAGCACAGTTCTGCAACCTGCACTGATATCCCCACGAAAGCAGCCCAACAGCTTTCCTCTCTCCCAATGCACAGGCCTCAATGTAGATGATGGACACGCCACAGGAGTTTTAATAGTTGCAATACTACTCTCAAATCTGACAACAGAGACTCCCTCAATAAAAACTCTCTCTTCTCTGCAAGACAAAATCTCAAGTCAGTTCTCCCAAGTCAGCCAACATGATGGCTGAATGCAAAAAATGCACCTAATACCTTTTAGTTTTTTCAATTAAGTTTCACGTAGCCCATGAGATGAGTGACAAGATGAACTTCACAGACAAAACATTTCCCACCACAGAAGAGCATATGATCAGCTTTGGCCTATCTAATGTGGTGATACACTATAAGAATTTGGTAAAATAAACTTAAGAGAATAAACTTAGTTGATCAGAATGCTGACATCTCGTAATGAATGTGCATTCTCTGGAACAAAAGTTTCAACATCTTTTGCTTGTCCTACTGAAAAATAAGTATTTTTAACATCTCCCACCATTTCAACAAACTTATTTAAGGAGATAGCTTTTATCCCTGCATAAATGTGAAGCACTTTTTCAGTGAGTTAATCTTCTGAATCACTTGGGCATAGGACAAACGCAAAACCAGCATTCTAGCCAGGTAGTTACTTTTGGTGAACGGCCTCTTCTTCTTTCCTGCGAGTCCGTCTGAAGCTTTTCAATTAATGGAATAGCAAAAGAGAAAGTCTTCCCTGTTCCAGTTCGTGCTTGAGCAATTACATCTTTGCCAGAATATACTGGGTGGAAGGTCTTCACTTGCACAGGAAACAGGTATGTCACTCCTCGAGCTGCAACAATTAGAACAGACTGCTTTAATACAATACTCCTCAAAGGAGGTCACCCTTAGCAGAACATCCACCAAACAAGCCTAGAGCAAGTCAAGACTTTATCTTCACCTCCGCTGATTTATTTAATCACAGACGATTGATTTAATCCTGACACAACCTTAGGGCTGCCCACCTTACTCTCCTACTTCATAGCACCAGAGTCAGGGACAGATGAAATTATTAGCCATTAATGAAAGCTTTTAAATACTCTGACTGTATTTACGTAGTGCTCCCCACTTAGCTAAGAAAAACTTTTACTTTCAAATAAAATGTCAATATTACTTCATCTCTTAATTTTACATTAACTCATTCACAAACTAATGTCAGAGATGCTAAACATAACTGGTTTTCCTTTACATGCTATGAAATAACTTTGAACCAAAAATTTCCCACACCATTTTTTGAGCTATCTTTCATCTGAAGTTCTACTGTAAAGCCTGAGCTAGGCAAATCACATCATGAAAAGAAATTTACCTTGAAGAAGCTGAACGGTCCCTTTAGAGATAGGGAAATTGGAGAAAGCACCCTCTTTCTGCTCTTCAGTCATCTCCTGTTAAGTAAATAATAATTCATAAAATGTTTCCTATGAATACCGTGTGTGACGATCAGAAAATGTAGGATAACAGCATACACACTGGTGTCCCAGCCAAAGGTCAAACTTTCAGTAACAACATCATAGCTGTGGCTGAAGAGCCTTCTTTGTTTTACTTACTATTATATTTCAAAGTTAGACAGAAGCAACCTGTAATTCAAATGAAGACTTTGCCTTAAATACAATGGCATAATAATGCAAGACATCCAAACTCCACCCCCCAAAATTCTCAAGATTATATTTTAAACAATTACTGACAGGCAACCAGAGTGTGTTGTAACGGGCAAGAAACAAGCCTGAGATCCAGCTAACCATTTACTGCCCAACTTGTACAGCACAGTCATTTCCAGACACAAACTGATTCCTAGGAGTAACAAAACAAGGCAGACCAGCAAATCTTCCTAGAGCCTCACTTCAATGTATGTTTTAGCAGGTAGAATCAAAGTCCAAAAAAATAAAAACATTACTACAAAAGGGTTGAAAAATACAAAACTGTTACAATGATACATTTTATTACACTAAGGTGGATCTTACCATATTAAAAGCTAACAATTTATTAGATCACGCATTAAAAAAAAATGTTATGTTTCTTTCTCCACTAACTATAATAAAAAAAAATTACCACAGAAGAACTCATATTGGCAAGAAGACAATTAAAACAAATCTCTAGCGATCACAGCCACTGCCAGTAAATCACACCCAGATGCCCTCTGTGTGCAGCCTGAAGGCAGCAACCAGCAGCTCCAACGGTACTGGCACTGTTGACGCGAGGAAACCACGGGCGCTGATCTAGAACTTCAGCACTCACAATTCCAACTGTTTGCAAACAACTGCCAGCAAGAACAACCAAGCAGCTTTCAGTCTGGAAAGTCAGGGCAGTCTTCCCATTGGTTGTGAGGGAAAAGCACACGCGAAGAAATGAAGATAACCTACTCTAAACGTAGGCTGACTGTAACACAAGTGCTGAAAGCTCCCCTTGTCACCATGGCACACCAGGTACCCCCATTACCTGCTCCTGGTCACTGTCCCCATCCCCACTGGACGTTTCGCTGGAGTTGCTGGGCTGTTTCTTGTGGGTGGATTTGGCACTGATAGAAGACAGCTTGGCATTCTCTGGGCTCTCCTCCCTCACGTGCCCATTTTGCTTCCCTCTGTTCTTTGCTTTCTTGGGCTTTGGCGACTCACTCTCTTCTTCTTCCGACTGCTCGCTTTCATCTGCCTGAGCTTTCCTCTTCCGAGCCTTATCGTGCCGCTTGGATTTCTTCTCTTTCTTCTCCTTCTGGCGAGCCAAAAGCAACAAGGCAATCAGAGAGACGCGCACACGTGCGTTCCCGGCTGCTCTCAGAGGCGGGCCGGGCGCCTCCCGCTATCGGGACACCCGAGCCCACGCCGTAGGGCTCGGTCTCCACCTCAGCCCCCGCCCAAGGACACCTACCCGGCCAGCCGCCCCACGGGGCCAACCCCGCGTGCCCGGCGGTCCCGCCTCACCACGAGGCCTCCGGGAGGCCATGCACGTGGCCGGCCCGGCCGGGTACCCCGCGGCACAGGCCTTGCCCGGCCCGAGCTCCTCCGGAGGGACGGGGCCTCCAGCAGCCCGCGCCGCTCCACGCCGTGCCGGGAGGTGGAAGCGCGACCGCCGGCACGTGGGAGGAGCGGCACAAGCGGGCCGGAGCCGGCCTCGGCAGGCTTCAGAACCCTCCCCGGTACCTTGCGCCGCCGCCGGCTGCCGTCTGGCGCAGCCTCACTTTCCATAGGGCTGTCGGGCTCCGACTCGGCCCCGCTGCCGGCACGGATCCGGGTAGCCTCAGGCATCGTCGCTCGCCGGCCACCGCGCCGCAACCGCGCCGTGACAGGAATGGACCCCACCCCGGAAACCGGTGCCGATCCCGGCGAACTGCCGCCGCCCCATAGCCAATGGGAGGCCGCCCCTCGGCCGGACTACAAATCCCGGCGTGCCCCGGGGTCCCCGCTCGGCCTGAACTACAAGTCCCAGCGTGCCCCGCGCGCGCCCCGGCCGCGAGGCCGCCGCCACGATGGCGTGGCCGGGCTTCCCGGCGGCGGAGTGCTTTGGCGCCCTTCCGTGACTGTACATGTAAAGCACGTGTATGAGGGCAGAGAAAGAAGGCGGGAATAAGGCATCAAAATTATCCGCAGGGCGGCAGAGCGCGCTCCCCATTCGCGAGAGAAGGCAGGGGCGCGCGGCTGGGCGCCTTCCCTCACACTGCAGAGCTCATCAGCCCACAGTTGGCCCCGTGCGGCTCGGCGGGGCAGCGAGAGAGGCTCGGCGGTGAAGGAGTCTGCGTGTGAAAAGGTGCGTGCCGATCCAGTGCTCTGCGTCGTTTTCTGACAGGAGATGCAGCGCCTGCCGTCGGTCCCGTGGCTCGAGAAGGAAACGCCTTCAGCAATTTTCAGGTCAAATACAGTTAGTTGTGCTTGGGCAGTGCGTGCCCGCCCCCAGCGAACAGCCGACCCGAACGCACCGTGTCAGCCCTCATTTTTATTGGACGAGGAGGTGAAAAAACAAACACAAAAACACCGTACATTTCTGCTATTGATATCTCCAACATGTTAACAAAAGGCTTATATTTACAGGCAGACACCAGACATCACCAAGCACAGTTATAGTATGCTTGCACTGTTAGAAATAAAAAGTTGACACCTTATTAAAAACTTAGCAAGCCTTCCTGGCTAGAATTAGCTGAAACAAGGCACTTTTTGTCACTGCCCTTCCACTCTCCATATGTTCTCCATACGTTGCTATTGATGCTGTCAGAGTTTGGGAGGAAGCTTCATCTTCTTTTCAGTCCATCTAAAAGAAGAATTATTAGATGTCAGACTTCACGGCCTAAAGACAAAGCAGTACTGGTTTGGTTTCTGCTACCTCAGATGGCATCAATACCATCAGACTGACCAAGGGGCTCCAAGTGGCCGCCTCCAAGGAACACAGGAGAACTGTGCCAAAAAGCTGCTTAAGGGAAAAACAAAACAACCAAAACCCCACTCCAGCAGCATTTCCTTAAAAACTGTAAGATGTGATTTGCTCCTGTATATATAAGCTGCTCAAGGTGATGACACATATAAAATGATGACCTTTAATTAAAGGACTCAAATGAGTGCTTTAATTGCACTTAAGCATCAGTCATTTAAGGTCTTAGGCACATAGAATGCTATTAAAAATTGATGTAATTTTCCCCTACACAGCATTTTAACTTCGGTTCTTGCCAGTTAGTTAACAGCTGTGTAAGTCTTACCCATGTGCAACTATATAAAATTTGTTTAATATCAATTCGTTTTCCATTAAGAAACTTTCAAAAAATCTCTTCGAAAAAGTACGTAGTTACAGGCTACAGGTACCCAGTGAAAGGAGCCTCTCCCTCAAGGTGGTGTGAACATTCTCCTGTCTGTTGTGAGCAAGTTGGATATTTTGCACTTTAAGTTATGATTGGACATCTTTATAAAACACATTTTATTCTTCACCTACAACCAGGGTAACTATGACAATATCTATAATGTCATATGGCAAGATGGATAGTCTTGCCAACAGAAACACGTTGAGTTTATTCATGTTCCTGAGCATTTCTGCAACTATGCATCTCCATCTTGTACTGTGAATGCAAATGCAAAATACAAACAGCAGCATATGCATAGCAGATTTAAGCAGAAGGTTTATGGAATACAGCATGGGAGCACTATAAATGTTGAGTATTTCTGGGTCATAAGCAAAAGATAATACCAGTTTTGCTGGTGGGGAGGGGTGTTTATGATATACAGCAAAAGGTCTACACAAATATGATTGTTGTTAACTAGGTGATGATACATGTAACTATGTTACATGTATTTTCTTACCTTGGGGAGTCAATTCCACTGTCTCCTGTAATGCTGTGGTTTTCTGCCCCTCCTGTGTGATTCTGTCCTGGTATCACAGTGTATTCATTCATTAAAATGAGACCTGTTATTCCTGGGGGGGTTCTTGCTTCTTTGGCTTGTGGGCCCAGATGGTGGCATGCCACAGCTTCTGCCATCTCACAGGTGCGGTTCTGCAAAGCGTCATCCTCATCAGTGTCACAAAAATCTACAGCTGAAGCCTTCATGCATTCAGTAAAGCTGGTTTCTTTCTCCTGTCTGGATACCATTGGAAGAACCTGGCTGCACAAACAACTTTCTTCTGCAAGGTCTGGCTTTTGATGCTTTTTTGAGCCATAAGTTGATTCTGTAAAATCAGCACTTCCCTTGTATCCATACCCTCCAGAGTCATATCGATTTACAGTTGTATTGTATTGGTTTGAATAAATATTAACCTTAGAGATTTTTAGAGCAGTCCCCATCTTTTGCACAGCTTTACTCCAGTCTCTTGCAACTGAAAATGCATGGCAAGAAAGCAACTGATGTGGTTCTTTGCATTCCAAATTGTCATCCAGATGCAACAAACTACACTTGTTGCAATCATGTACCTTCTGGTTCTGAAGATGGCATTTGTTGGTAAATCTGTCACTTTCCAGCTTTGTTGATCCAAAACAGTTGGTACAGTCGTATTTAAATACAAGTTCATTCTTTTTATCAGTCTTTTGTCTGTGTGTCACACCAAATTCTTTTTCCCTTGTAACACTGGTTGTATAATTTGAGAGGTGGACGTTTTGAAATTCATTTGCTGCTTGGTCCAACAACTCACAAACAGCGTCAGCCTTGTAGCTGCAACATTCACCTTTCAGATGTAGTAAATGTTTCGCTTTTTCTTTACGCACACTTTTATCTTCAGTGTAGAAGTCTGGGGATTTTTTAATATTCCCAGGATTTCTTTTCACAGTTCCTCTGCAGACGTTGTCTTCAGAAACATTACTCTCCAGAAAGTATTTATGTTTATCATCTATTCGCAAAGTACTGCTGTGCAGATAACTAACATTGTCACTTAAACTGTTTTTCTTTAATTGGAAGGAAAACCTATGAGCTTGGGGTGATTTGTTTTGCTTAGTGTTGTCAGCCTGCATTTCAGCAAGCAGTTGTTCAGCTTCGTATTCGGAGGCTCCGGGTGACTCCAAGGACTTTGTAAGCCTTTGTAAATCCCTTTCCCGCTTTCGTCTCCTGGACTTCCGCTGGCTGTTAATACGACCCTTGTATGCTTTTGCATAAAAGCTGTGTCTCCATGAGAGACCCTGAAAAGGATTCTTAATTTGCTTTTTATATAGGACCTGGGATTCCACCGCTGCATCCAGCGGCTGTTGGTTTGTGACAAGCAGTGAAATGTTCTCTTCCAGCTTCTCACTTTGGGGTGTTGGCTCATGCACATGAGGTTTCAAGTTGTTTCTGCTGATTTGCTTCTCTCTGTTTGGCTTCTTTTTCCTTTTGTGTTTTGCTGTTCTAATTTGTGCCTTTTGAACACACTCCTTTGAACAATACTTTTGCTGTAGTGTTAACACTTCAGCCAAGATATCCTTAGTGGTATTTGTTTTCCTCTCCTCAAACTTTTGCATTAATCTTGTATGTTTAATCAAATTATCAATGGTAAGAGTGGGGTTAATACACCTGATGATTTCATGTTCAACATCACGTGGAATATTATCTAAGTCATCTTCATCTCTGACCGGCCACTCGCTGGGGGGAAACTGGGCTGAAAACGTTGAGTACTCCTTATGTTTTTCTTTTTTAGAAGTACTTCTCCAGAAAAGACCAAGGCCAAATCTTCTACATTTCAGTTTCTCTTTCACTGATGTCAGGGTTTTCATGGTGTCCCAGGCACGGTTTTCAGCTGATGAAGAGATGACCTGAGTTTGAATCAAAGGCTTTCCTTCACTGCAGCCTTTCTTGCCTCCTCCCTCAGGTTCCTGGTTCGTTAGCTGCTCGAGTCTTTGTTCACAGAACATATTCTGGCCAGGGAGACAACGGGATACTTTAGCAATGTTTTCTTCCACTGGGTCTGCACAGCTTTCCCAGGTTGCCTGGTAAGCGTCCTCACTGTCTGTCCGCCAGCCCCTGTTATTGTATTCTGCAGCATCATTTGTGACAAAGTAGGTGTTGGGGGTAACGATGAAATATCCCTCTCCTGTGTGATAGATCTTCCTTTCTTTAATTAGAGTGCCAAGGATGTTGTGTAAGATTTTCTGGGAGGGAACTGCAATGCCTACAAGGAAGGTACAGGTACTTCAAATTAGAAAAGATTTTTCAAATAAAATGAGAACTGGTAAAAAAAATAGCTTTCGATAGATCTGGAAGTGAGTCAGCATGAAGTGCCCAATGTAATTAGTTTGCAAGATTCAGAAAGAAGTTTGAAATTGATGTGGCTGCTGAAGTATGGATAGGAAATGCTCAGTTTCAACATGGAAGTGTCAGATGCCTCAGGACAAATAGCAAGACTGTTCTTTTACACACCACCAAAGCCAGCAACAGTGCTAGCACCCAGCTGTCTGCCACCCATTCGCCTGAGGCTCCCTTAAGATGGCAGTGACTGCCCCAAAATCTGGCTGGGGACAGCAGACTGCAGCCCTGAATCAAGGAGAACCCCCTGGGCTCGCCAGGTGAGGGCAGCACGGAAACATCAGTGGGCCCACAAGAGTGAAGACTCCCAAAACAAGGTGAAAACAGCAAGAAAAACGTTCTCTCCTTCTGTGAACATGGAGTGCTCCTTCCAGCTGAGCTATAAGTGGTACCGTGTGGAATCTCAGTTCACATATAGGCTACACATTGCTGGCAGCTTTCAGAACCAGTTGATGGGGTTGCATTAAAATTTTTCCCAGTAATGGGAAAGCTTACTTATAACAATTGCAGAGCTATGAGATTACAACCATTCAAAAGAGAAAGCTTAGAATGAAACCAAACAACCTCCTGCAAAAGGCTATAATGAGCTCCTACAGAGTCTCGCATACATGCTCCCACACCCCAGTTCAATAACCTGAAGGAAATTGAACGCTTTTCACACTGAAGGAAAATGCAGCATTGGATGGAAGTGTCTGCTGTCCCATTGGTAAAGGAGGACTTGGTGTAATAAACTTGCTTTCAAGAAAGGAGAAGCTGGAATTTGACCAACAAATCTGATTTTGAGACCACTTGCATTTGTGATAGCAGATGCTGATTGTAGCTCCCGGGCTGCAAACTCCTTTGCCACCAAAGTCAAATGCATTTCTGCTTCTTCTTAAAAAGGACCCCAAGTGTTACTGATATGACAAATAGTCTGTTCTGTGCTTTTCCAGACCTGTTCCCTGAACACCTCATGTATGCATTCCCACTCTCGAGGAGCATACTCTCAGCACACCGCTGAACCCAGTTCCCTTGGTTATTCTCAAGGATTTATTAATCCTCATACTGAAAGGAATGTTACTGTTGCTTTCAGATTGATAAGGACTGTATACATATTCAAGTATTCTCTCATCTGCTTGCTGATATTCTTATGCATTGCTCATCCAATATGAATAGATACTCAAGGTTGATGATAGAGTCATTTTTAAAGGAAGGGAAACAAACACATTACCTGGATACCTTTTCACTAACTGCTCCACTAAAGTTTTCTGTGTGACCATGGTTTGGTCTGCATTCATGTCTGATATGGCACAGCAGATTCCTTCTACCAGAGGAATAGACTGAGATAGTGAGCATGGATTCATCAGAGCAGGGAGTGTACCACCTGTACTCCAGAAGGAACAAGAAAGAAGAAAACAAACAGTTTGAATGGAACAGTATTTCATTTCTCTGTTAGTCATAGCTGATTTTCAATTAGATTTTCTTTTGTTGCTTCAAAACGAGCACTTTACCCTCAATTACTTTTCATTTGCAAAGTACTCAAAGATTTCTCAGGGAAGACAATACTTAATGTGTTTTTGTAACGATGGAAGCAAAAGGCTACTTCAAGCACATTTGCTTGTTTGGTATTAAAGTCTAGCTTAAGCCTTAACTTACCTCAGTAATGAGGTAGTCAAGAGAGAGAAGCTCATCTGATAACTGCTGATTATTTTATGACTGTTTATGTATGAACCATACAGAATATATAGTTCTCAGAGTAACTGATGAAAAACATCAACATCCAATAGTCAGAAGTAAATAATGTAGGAAAACCTGAAATTAATACTTTCCCTGAAAGCTGATGACAAAGCAGAAAGCAGGAACTTACCTGAGGTCTGTGCATGCATTACGACAGGACAACATATACCTTCGCAGACAAAAAAAAAAAAAAAAAAAACAGGCTTTTTTCTTCCCCTTTTTTTAGACCAATGATCTGTTCCCTACACCTGGTGGTATTTTGTGGTCTCTTCCCTGTTCTCTGCTGCAGAGAAAGCTCCAGCTATCCTCAGCACCGGCTGGTTACTTCACGAGGCAAAAGCTGGAGTTAAATGCTAACTGTAATTTTCCCGCAAGTGAGAGGTGACATCTGAGATTGAGTGACATTCAGGTTTGGCTGAGCTGCAATTGGATAGCCTGGTGGCTGACTCGGGAACCTGATATTTAGCCTTTCAGCAGAAAACGACAACACAAGCATTTCTTTCAGTAATGAGTTAAGCTCTTGCATTTGGGAAAGCTCAAATTGCTCTTGACCTTTGTTTTCCAACTGCGATTACTTTCAACAAAAAGCACTGAAAAAAAAAAAAAAAGTCCTGGCACATGGTTTCCCCGGTGATGTTTCTAGGATACTCTTTGCAGGTGCAGGAACCATTGCAATCTTTCTTTTTGTATGGGAAAAACCCATCAGCATTCACTAATAACTCTTCAGAACAATTTGTTGTCTCAGCTCTCTGCTGTAGGCACGGTGTTGCAGCCAGTTTTACCATTTGTTCCTGTAGATCTAGGGAGTAAAACACCGAATGTAATTGGAATGTATTATCTTTATTAATATTAATTATCTTCCATCACTCTCTGTGTCTGTCTCACAGACTCAAATCCCACGTTGTCTTTAAGGGAGGGCTCTTCCAAGGTAGCATTTAAGAAAAGCAGCAAGCAAAAACCAGCTTGATACTGAAGGAAAATGAGTATATATTGAAATTGCATTTTTCACAGTGCAAACTTATTTAAAATGCCCAGAGTAGATCAATAGGAATATTAAACATCATTCCCTCCTGACTTTGAAATACAAGCTAGAATTGTATTTACCAACTCCTATCTAGGCAGTCTGCCAGCAATCATGTATTACTGTCTTTTCACTTTGGTTTGCCAGTCTATTCAAACTCTGCTCATTACCTGGGCACTCAGAACCCAAGAATACCCTTTTAGAGCCCATATCCATCACAGTGTGGGCAAGTTGTCTGTAACATGAGCACTGGTGTACAGGAAAGCCTCTGGTTGTTCTTGACTAATACAAAGTGATTTTTTTTTTTTGTCCTGACTGTAACATGAGCTCTACCACTTTTCTTTAAGTTGTTCAATAATTGCAGATTTTTTGCATCTCCAGCCTCTAGGAAGAATGACATGTAAGTTGTTTCTCATGCAAGTCTTCAGAAAATAAACAGAAGCACATTTTATTGCACCAGAGCTCAAGTTAGTCCTTAAAGATTGAGGCAAACAATTTCATAACCATAAAGGGTTAACAGTAAATAATTCTAGGGGAAAAAAATAAATACAAATCAATAATAATCTCTACTATATGATTCGACTTCCACTGAGACAGAACAGACACAATAACAAGTACAGCTAAAAATTCTGTTCTATAGTCGGAGAGGTCCATGTAGGAGTGTTAAGCTGAGCATAAAGGGAAATATTTTAGTGAGGAAATACTGATGGTAGGCAGATGGTTGTACCGGATGATTTTGGAGATCTTTTCCAATCTTGGTGATTCTATTCTATGATAATGATCCCACTGATCCTGTGCCTTCCTGCAGGAGAGCCCCACTGTGTTTGATTCACTTCACTTTCTGCACAAATGCATGAGGAAAGCTAGCAGCAAGTACAACTCTGTCACAAACTGAGAGGCTTCTTCTTTTCTATATACTAAAGTGCATCCTGGTCACATTTTATAGTAAACATCACATTTCATAATTAATGACTAGGAATAATTTCAAGCAGGAAAAATGTTAATAGGAACACAGAAAGTAGGAGAAATTTTGCAATAGCATTTTTTGAACATTAATGGAGATTTTCAAGGCCTTATTAAAAGATAAAATTTCTCTGCATGTTATTAAAGACATAGTCAAGATTGTTAGAATATTTTCAATTACTTTAATCTTAGTGCTTAATAAGCCAATAATAGCCATCACAGGTAAATATGGTGAACACAAAGCAGGATTAAAAGTGAAGGGAAAAAAACAAAGGCTTTTGAGATCGATCATGCTCCCTACTGAAACCTGTGATTTGATACTCCAAGTAGAACAAGTTGCACAGCAGTCAGCAATGTGTTCACTGCACTGTGATTTTCCTTAGGCCAAACTTAGTGGGAAAGAGTTTTTGCCACGTGCAGCTGGCCTTCTTTAACACTTGCTGAGGCCACTGGCATATTCGCTTTGATGCTCCAAGAACATCTTGAGAGCAGATTTCAAGTTCCAAAGGCACTAACTTAAGCAAAAGCAAGCATACAGCTTCATAAAGACAGTTGAAAAGAGAAGAGCATTTTTGCTAGTTGAAAATTAGCAGGCAAACTGTTCAGTGCTTAGAGATTTGTTTTACCCACAACAACCGTCAAAACAGCCAACTAACAAAACTACATAAGCACATCTGCCTTTATGGCACTCTTCATAGCATAACTGGCTAAGCAACAGTACTCAAGACAGTGTTTTTACTATACCTTAACAGGCCTACAGCTTTTCAGTCAAATCACAAGTAGCATTGGATACTTCCAGCACAGCTCAGAGCAAGGAAAATCACCCTTAACTGTTTCAGCATTCAATGTCTGGCAGAAAAAAAAAACCAAATTGATTCAAAAACTTTACTGGAAGGAGATAAAAATGACATAAAATGAAGTGGTCTCAGTAAAATTGCAAAAACCATGCAAACAGCCCAGAGAGGCAAACAGTAGAAGAATAAGCAAGTCATCATCAGCAGCAATGTTTCTGGCTCCTGTAACTGCCTGCAGATGCTGCCATCCAGTGCTACAGGATTTTAACACAAGCACATCTTTTCCACTTGGCCTGGTCCAGAAAGTCCCTTTGCAGCCCTGGGATTTCTCCACTAAAACTGCTCTGCCTTTTCTTTGCTCCCAGTCCCACCCCCTATCTGCAATAAATCCCAAGCCATCCAGATAACTCTGTAATGTCAAAATCTTTGTCCTGTGTGGAAGCTGTTACTGGTTGCTGGTTAGGCACTGTAGATCTATATAGTGAAAGAATTGCTATAAAACCTCCATCATGCAGTTGCACATTCCTGTGCATTCAGCTAAAGGTCTGCTCTAACTGCTGTAATATTCCTGAACAGTACTGCTTTGCCTGGAAACGTGCTGCCACATAAAAGGCAGTCACAAAAGAAGCACACAACTTAAAGCTACAATCACAGGAGTGTAACTGCAGTTGTGCTCTTCTTCCCAGAATGGACCCAAATTCACTTTGCATTGCTCCCTGGCTTCAGCTCACCTTTATCCCAGCCAAGGAGTAAACACATTGGTCTCTTAGAGAAACAGCACCCAGAGTTATTCAAAAGAGAACATAACCCCAACATAGTTTGTTTTAGAAAAGCAAGATAAAATTCAGAGGTTCACTTTATTTCAATTTGAAGCAAAACATAACAAGCATTTCAGCTTTCAGACAGATTGAGTTTACTAAACAAGTAGCACTTGCTTTTTCAATTGTGTCATTGTCCAGGAAGCTTTCTGCTTCAGTACAAATCAGGCTGTTTACTGAGTAGCTGGAATCTGCCAGCAAATGGTCTGTGGATCACCACAGATGTATCTATGCAAGATAAAGCATACTAGGAAAAAAAATGTCATGCATTATTCCCAAGGGCTTCACTGAATTCTCACTTAGCTGTAAACCTACTGTGCAAGTCACAGCAATCATATGGAACACTAGCTTCTCTATTTTAGTTCTTTCAGGAGTGATGTGGCAGGAGTGAAGCATCCTGGGCTGAATTAACAGGACCAGAGCTAGCAGACAAGAGGAAGTGATTATTCACCTACCTTTAGTGCTTGCTATACCACATCTTGCATAGTAAGCCTGGTTTCAGTATTGAAAAGGCATCTGTATGTGGGGTTAAGTTCAGTAGCTGGCCACCAGAATGATCAGAGCTGAAACAGTGTGAGAAGGAGCTGGCAGAATGGGGCTTGTTCAGCATGGACAGAGATGATTTAGATGAATTTAAATTTAGAAAAGATGATTTAGGGGAGACCTGACAGCAGCCCCTTCAGAAGATGGAGCTGGTCCCTGCACAGCAGTATATGACTGGAAGACAAAAGACAACAGGCATCAGCTGGAACAGGAAAGCTTCAGCCTGACTGTAAGGAAAATCTTTTTACCCTTTAGGACAGCCCACCAGTGGAGAGCAAGTTGCCCAGAGAAGTTCTGCTGTTTCCAGTCCCGAGGAGTTTCCAAGATGTAATATGATAAAGTCCTGAGCAATCTGGTCCAACACCACAGCTGACCCCACTTGGAGCAGGACCAGGACGGGCTCATCTGATTTATTTGGACAGTGGTGCCTGTGCCTCTCACTGCCACCCTCATCAACCCCTTCAACCACCCTGTTTTTTCTGCAAGCCACTGCAACAGCGCTTCTGACCTCTGCTTGCTGTGAAGTTTTCTTGAGTTACATGAGATTAAAGAGCAGAATGATGGCCACTCTCACATCATGTTGTAAATGAGGCCCACGCAAACAGCATTTGAGTGGAAAGACTGTTGGATTTTTCTTCAACTTTCATACAGCTTTCCTAACTTTTTTTTTTTTTTGTCATAACCGAACTCCATCTGCTTGTGTTTGTTCTTAGGCCTGGTGCTCTGCAGTGATGAAGTGGACATGTGCTAAGGCAAGATGGCAGTAGAGAGAAATTAAAACTAATCCTGAATTGAAGTTACTGATTTTGAAACTGTATCAACAACTAAAACTGACTAATGCATGTAATTTATTTCATTAACTGCACGATGTTAAAGTAACAGCAAGTGAGTTCTGTTCGGATACCCTCACCCACACTAAGGGAGTTAAAACCTACAGTGCAGGGTTCAAAGTGCACGAATACAAGAGAACACAAAACGCAGGCATGGCTCAGCCTGAGTTCCTGAGTTCTGTTTTCTCTCTCCAAAGACTGAAGCAGGAGTTTATTTTGCTGAAAATCTCTAGCACTGAGAAATATACAGTACATGTGAAGTTCTGCACAACTAATCTTACTAAAGATAAATAAATAAAGTGAATTACATTGAGTGGAGCCTACTATATATAGTAGTAAAAAAAAAATAATACTCTCCTGTTCAACGGTACTTGTTTGTTCAATGGTGTGACTGCAGCACGCTTGCTGAAACAGTGAAAAATATATACAGAAATGCTCGAGCCTTGCAGGAAATTCAAACGGAGCAGATCTAGGAAATCCATCACGATTTTGAAGACCATTACAGTGCCTTGCACACCTTGCTGCTATCAGTTCAAATGATGAAATAATCTCCTAGCCATTAGTCTGGGAGAATTGACTTAGTAAGCCAAAGACAGCGAGCTACATAAAAAGTTGTCCTTTGAGAAGTACAAGTATTTTCTTCCTTTTTTCCTCCTGAAGATGCACTGACAATCACCACCAAAACAACTGTGATAACCAGGAAACCCCAGTTACAACAGGACGTACAAGCTCCGACTCAGAGGCCTTGTTGAAAAGAACTGTAAAAGCAGTGCTTGAGAGTAAAACGCTTACAAACTCAAACTGTCTTCGTTTTCTGACAGCTTGTAGACAGACAGTGCAAAATAAGGCACTATCATCCACTTCTTTTTTCAAGCCTGAAGAAAATGAGAAGGAACGGAAATTGGAACAATCCCTATCGGTCTGTAGGCGGTATGAGCACCTGCTGTGAGCCGCACTTCACAGGAGCCAGCGCCATTGAAATACCGGATTATTCTTCTTTGACTTGCAAACTTGAATCCCCTCTGGTGAGGCAGGATGGAAATCAATGGAAGAAAGGGGCTCTGGAAGAAAGGAATCCCAGGAAGCGGGCTGAGGAGCCTCTTGCTGAGCTGCAGTCCTACAGCGCCATGTGCTCCCATGGAGAGCCCGATAAACAGCCGCTCCGGTGGCGTCACCGGCCGTAGGCAAAACACAGAAGTGACGAAGCAGAGCCCGCTCTCAGACGACCGTAATTTCAGCCGTAGTTTCCTTGGACTGTAGCGAAACGCTACTGACACTGACTTTAATTGCTGTGAACAAATTTAACTTACTAAATTAAAATAGACCTGTCTTCAAAGCCTGCCAAGTCAGTTCAACTCCTTTCCTATCACAGGGAATCCGAGTCCTGATTTAGCATTAGACGCCTCGAATCTTCAAAGCTTCAGCTACAATCTTTGCCCACTTCTGAGATATTTAGCTCCTTTCCGCGTTCAGTTCTCCCTGACTTCTGGGAGGGACTCGCAGCAGGGAAAGAGGAGAGCTGGGGACCCACACCTATCAGACTACTCCATTAAATGAGCAAATAGAACATAAGACAATTCCTTGCCTGATCTCATTACAGCTCTGTCAACACCTGGAGCAAAAAATACACCTTCACAGAAAGGCGTATTGTCCTTTCAACGCCAGTCTTCAGTAGGACACTTTCATCTCAGTCCCTCGCTCGTCTCCAGGCGCTGCTTAGGAAGGGCGGGAGGGATAGCCCTCATTTGGGTAACAACTGGCCGCACATCTCAGCTGAGCACCGGAGATGGTCTGGCGGAGGGATGTTAGCGTTTTCACGCAGGCTGCTCAGCTATCAGATCAAAAGAAAGCGTTTTCAAAACTATCTCCCACCCCCTCATCCTGCTCTTAGCTCTCCGAGGGAGATCTGGATTGCCGTAGTTTTCACTTCTTTCTCCCCTCCATCCCCATAGGGGGAGAATACAACAGCTCTCACCCGGTCCTGTGGATACAGCACGCAAACTCAGTCTTGGCCCTTTTTCATGTGCTGTGGCCATAGACGAAGATAATACAGGACAAGGGCGAGTGATTCCCAGCGCTGACAGCTGACGTTTGAGGTATCCGTAGAAATTCACCCAACGATAAAGGAGTTTACAGACGCTGTTATTACCGTGTGTGCTGCAGTAAGGGAATGTTTCCCGAGAATTCTTTAGGACTTTCTTCTCTACCTCGCAGTCATGAAGCACAAGAAATCTACGTGGCTTGAATTTCCTATCACTGCAAACAACAGCTTCTGAGCAAGTAAATAAAAACAAGCAGTCACATCTCCTTCTATAAAATGAAGACAGATTGTGATACCAATAACTTCATTTTTAAATAATGTCAACTTCTTTAAAGAACAAAATCAAGGAATCTTTCTACTTTGCATTTCAGTTACCTAACTTGTCACTGGTTTTCCTGGAATAAAGTATACACAAGGGATGGAGAAAAGTCTTCCAGAGCAGAACATAGTCCTTACAACGGAAGGAAGAACGATGGAAGAAGAGACATACAACACATCTGTTTTTACCAGAAAATCACCTAGATAAAGCCACTTGATTTGCAAATTGGTTTCAGTTGAGCTTCCAGAGACAGAAGTCAAACCATGAAAACATCCCTTCGACATCAAATGTCTGAGAAAAGGAAATGCACAAAGAAACATTTGATAAAAGAAATGGAGAGAACTCTGACTTGTAAGAAGCCCCTTTGGGTATTAGTGCAGTGAGAGACAAGATGATAGGGAGAAAATAGTGTAATTCATTTACCAGAATAATTTCCATTTGGACTTGGCCTGTCAAACTATGTCTGAGAAAATAGGTTACTGCAAAGTAGAAGGTGAAAAACAAATGAATCAAGGAATCGCAAGTAGTACAAAACTTAACTATAGTAAGAGAGAATATTTCCTTACGTATCTAGAGGTATTACATCTTTTTAGATGGAACCCAATGGGTAGGACACTGCTTTTTATAACACCTCTCTGGATTAACAGATAAGAAGTCAGTGGACCTCACACAGGAGCAGATGCAGAAAGTTGCCAGAGCCCAGAGAAACGGGATTGAATGAAGAAGTTGAAGAGTCAGAAAACAGGGTTGAGACAGAAAAGAGTATTCTCTACAAACTGTTGGGAAAGAAAGATGAACACCATGAAGAAGGAAAGAAAAGAAAAAAAAAGTATGTGATATAAACTAAAGCCAATGTAAAGAGAAGCGTAAGCAGTTTTAGTTGGCCAAGGGCAACACAAGCTAGACACCAGAAACGTTAACAGTTTTGAAACAGGTGATGAATTCCTCAAGTCTTCCAACAGGTGACAAAGTTCATGCTTTGAGAAAGAATTCAAAGCTGCTTTTCTTGCTTGAAGAACTGCTGGTTCTTGTGATGTAATGCTATCCAGTTCTGCCCAAAGGAAAATGTACTTCTGCCTTTAATTCACCCCTGGGCAGAGATGATTACCAAGCTACACTCAAGGAAAAAATAATAAAACTCTCAAATATGACAATAATGAAAATCCCTACTGACCTTTGGAAATCAATTTGGAATTCAAGGATTTGTTCACACTTCACCAAGTACCAAGTTGTTACTGTAGGTCTGAACAGTTACAAATCTTCATTTCTGCAGCTTCTACTCAGTCTTAGTTTACTACATTTCTGGCTTGACTGCTAATGCTTACACGCCCTTAGGGGAAAGTGGATCAGATTAAAAAGTTAAAGTGGATACCTGAGCTGAAACAAAGCAAGAACTACCCTGCTTGCTTATCACTTAGAACTTAGCGTCTCCTACAATCATCTTCCAAATAAGGCAATAGTTAACGATGTAGAAGATATAGAAACCACCCAGAAAAATCCAAGATCTACAAAAGCACCACGGTAATGGCTTCTGCCACCTAGGACCAGTCAGAAGAGAACAGCCTTACAGGATCCTCAGAGGATCAAGTCAGTACAAATTCTTAATGACCAAGGGGTGAAACAGACCCAAGGGTTAACAGACTCAGCATACCGATATTCATTCCCCCTCCAGGAACGCCAACAGTAAAAAGGGCTTTACTGACAAAAAACAATACCTCAGATAAAAACTGAGGAGCTCTAGGGCAGATATCCTACTCAATAGCAGAAATGTATTCAATGCAATCACTGCATTTCAGCAGTCAGTAGTCTAGCAGTTGTACTT